CTCAAAAATATATTTTAGGAAACAAAACAATACAGATACAATAAAACTTAATAATAGTTATTTTTAAGCGACGACTTGATGCAGTAATAATGATTTTTTAATGTTTTTTTTTCTTTTTGTTACAATCATTTACGTTAACCATTGGTTGTTAAAGGTGTTGATAAAGAAAAAGTTTCACACACTTGGATTTTGTTTTGACACTTGCAATAGTCTCCGCTTTTGTGGTTTCAATGTTTGGGATAACGGTAGCAGAGATTCTCATAGATTTTAAAAAATGAAGTTGATTATTAACGAGAGCCACTAGAAGATATTTGTTTCTTTTTTTTTGCATTTTGATATTCTTAATAAATTTGTTGAACGGTTGGTGTAAAGTGACCTCATTTTTTTTAAATATATTAAACGTTACAACTGGTTTCGAGTCATTCGTCAACATTCTGGTTACCTTTCAAAAGTATGGCTGATCGATAACACTGCGCATTGTGTATTTGTATGAGGCGAAGCCATAATGGTGGGTTTGCTGCAAACGGCCTCGTGATGTTTTCAAACTTGTGATACATCTTCATTCTATTAGGGACAAGTTTAAACACGCCATAAACCACTTTTATCCTAAGTTAAATTTGATAAGGAGCCGCAGCGAATTTAATATATTTTTGAATTCGTTGAGGAGGTAATTTAAGTGGGTTTTCTAAATACAATTTTCCATCGTTCTACCACATGAGTAGTTAATATAGACACGTAGTTCTACAGTGTTTTTCCTAATATACTTATGTACATTGTTTGAAAGTGAGTACTTAAACACACAACTTTTTAGTACGAAAAATAAACGATAAAATGTATGCCACCAAACGAAAACAAGGAACATCTTTCATTAGCAGCTCATTAAACGAAAGCCAATAAAGTGACTGGATGCTTCGTGATCGTGGTCTACATTAATAAATTAATCAGTGTCGTTACCTAAGAATTTTGAACTCGGTCCAAGTAAATAACAGTGACTTCCGTGTCATCGTGTATGGCACGTGTTTCAAAATTCTTGACCATTTTGTGTGCCGGGACTCAAGGAAGTTAGATGTAGCTGTAAGCTTGTAAATATTAACGATGAATAAGTGATAAGAAGGATTAGTATTATCAATAAAATTTCACGTAGCATACACACTTTCATAAAATTAGCTCGTATTTAGCAAATCATTATTTACATTAAGCGTAATGTCTATCAATCAATTAAAATACCTTAATGCACAGAGATAAAAATGATTCATTTTGTGTAAATGATTTTGTAGTGTCTATTTTCACCTATGCTTCTCCTTCTCCTTTCTATTTGAGACAAGGGTTTTTTTCTTTTAAGTTTTTTTTTATCTACGCATATCTACTTTATTTTTTAAGAAGTAGTAGTCTAACAACAGAAAGTTCTCTTTTTTTTCTGTTCTGTGAGTCTAACCAAAGCTAGAGCAGTATCTAAAGCGTCCGACGCCACAGGAACACTCGAGTGTAGTAGTTCCGCTCCCTTTGTCACCGCGCTCGTAACTCGATACCCAACACGACTTCCGTGAAGCCCCGGCGCTCCTTCGTAATCCTCCAGCAACGTATTGCTGCCAAACGGCCTCTAGAACACACACCAAATAGGAATTCTTTTTACCTATGTTTTACCTATTAGAGTAGGCAAGGTACTATGGTACATACATACTTCCCTATCAGGTGTTGCTGTTTATATAAAACAATGTCTTCATTCGATAATCATTTCTAACTACTTGAAAACGAATTGAATATTTAACCTTTAACATGTTTCATTGAATTTGGGCTAAGCTTTCTTCGTATCTTAATTATTATTTATGTATAACAGCTGGCGTACAGAGGTTGGTTTGGCCGAGCCGAGTCCGTCCGGCGAACGGCGTGGTTATTTATAAAACAGAGTTGCGTCTCGTTTTGTCTTCGGCGCGCTCTTTATTTTGTCTAAATATACGCAGTTTTGGGAACGTCGTCGCGGCCGCCTCTGCCGCGACATCGGCGTTGGCTCAGATCCAGAATTTCATCTTTTCTCGCCCGCTTATCTTTTGTCGGGAACATATACCGCATACTAACCGCCGTACAGCGATATTTGTGCTGATGTTTTATTCGCACTAAATTCGATAAAGATGTATTTTGGAATGTTATAAACACCGTAACACGGAATAGTAAGGATAAAGTTTTGTTTTACTTAGTAATAATATAATACCGTAATAATTTCAAGAGTAATTTTCATTTTAAAATGAGAAATGTTTTGTTACATATAGGCCATACATAATTAAGGGCATAACGTACGAGATCCGTGTACGCTATTATGGGAACATTAGGCAAAACGTAACTGGTGTTTGATATGACCAGAATGCCAGTGTCGGTCAGTTGTAAGAAAAGGCCACCGGATACTCGTCTAACCGCGTCCCTGAGATGCGGAATTAGGCCACGATTGTACTATTCCTGCTCCAGTAAACTTACAAGACATTACAGCTACATTGTAGTCAAAACACTATAAATGAATTATGGCCAATTTCCTTTCGAAGCATGATTTGGTTTTAGAATCTGCGTCAATTCCACATTCGTAAATTAAGCGGAATGCGTGAATCGCGGTAATTTAAGAATTTTATGTGCACGCTGATGATTGTGGTTCACATATAGGTACTTATTAAGGCGGAATACCTCATCCGCTGTAAATGTTAGCATTGAAAACAATCTGTGTTAGGTAGGATTAAGCATAAAGTCAGTTAGCCCGTCTCGCTCAGACCGCGCCTGCGTCTAAAATCGTATTTCCGTAGAATCCTTACAAGCGACGTTAAGCACTCTCTGTCGGCTTTGCAGTTCGACGACCCGAAATCCAGAACTCGTATGAAATGCCCGCAAAAGTGTTCAAAACAAAGCTATAAGTATTTCTGTAACACCTACGTGGCAGTTATTTAAAACTATGGATGAGAATATTACTCCGAAAGCAAATGAGTTATATAGTAAAATAAGATTTTATTGTTTTCATACCCGATGTATTGCCAACTTTATTATGAATTTCTTTTTGCTTCTCAGTGCCGTTTAAAGGATTTCTATCACAAACAATGAAATTTCCCAAAAACTAATGACGATGGTGTATTTTTTTCAATAATCTAACAGGAAAATGTTCTACTGTTGCTCCAATTTGTACAGTTTGTTGATTTATACGAATGTTTGACCTATTGTGACGCTCAACAATCGATTACGACTAAAATCTATCTGGGTCATAACGTGCAACAAAGGACTATCATTTAGGTGGTACGACAATAGTCAATGTAAGGGTAAAGAGAAAAATAAATATTAATGAATCAAGATAAGCTTATGGTGGACAGTACGACCTCGGCCGTCAAACGACATGGGATCGATCGAGTGCGCCAATACACGATTATATGGTGCACGCAAACGTATGATTCCAGAACCAGTAATTGTCTGTTTATAGTCTATACTATACAATGGGAAAAATACCATAGCAGTTGGTAATGACAAACATATATACTTATTTGCAAAAGAGCTTAAACTGGAACGACACTCGTTGACCAATCGGCAGCAGTCTAGAGCTGTCTGCGTTATGAAGAATATGAAAATAGATGTATTCCTCTCCGACCGAGACCGTGACTAGAGTACTAAAAGGAACAACTGTTCAAACGTAAACGTTGACGTAAACCAAACGATGTTTAATGACTTATATATGAATTAAATAAGTTTCGGTGGGCCAAGAGTTAAATAGTTATTTACTATTAGATATCCTGTAATTATTTTCACTGTGCTTTTGTAATTTACCAAAAATGTATTATGGATTAAATCTAAAGAAAAGTTTACTAGAAAAAAATCCACGCGGACCAGGCAGCGGACGGGACTCGAACCCGCATCCTTCGCTATCCGGGCGAATGCACTGACCATTATGCTACCACGGCCCTATTAGCTGCGTCGAAATTTTCCTAGCCTTAAGCTGCAAGGCAGCGCCATCTCTTCGCATTGTAGGTAATCCACAATGTCAAATACTACAATGCGAAGAGATGGCGCTGCCTTGCAGCTTAAGGTGGAGGTCCGCGTGGATTTTTTTCTAGTAAACTTTTCTTTAGATTTAAACATCTAGCAGTTAAATGCTTAAAAAATAAATAAAATCATAACTATTATGGATTAGTTATTGCGTCTAATCTATTTTAGCGATCGTTGTGTTATATTATTATTTGCATTGATTTCGCTTGGGTAATTGATGGTAATTAGATGATTAAGGGGATCCGTAGAAGGTCAACGCGACATTACTGTAGCAGCCGAACCGCAACACCATCCGGACTCTGCGGATGTGATCCGCTGTAATCACCGGTGAAATTTCACCACACAATGGCCGCTTCGAGTACAACAGAGGTCACGCTCTTCTGGACACCAGTATCATAACCAACGATTTATGATCTAAACCTGTTATTATGATTGCGCATTTCCCTAATATCACAATATGTTATTCGCAATTCGACGCTTGGTGTTTAATCACATACCTCTGACATAGCTGAAACACTCAATTTGTAATCAGCTAGGAAACGCTGTCGCTTTGTCAATCAATAAAGATCTTATATTGTTCGTGGCATTTTGGTTAAACGCATGGTCGATGCCAAAGTCTGAACTGTATGCCATTTATAGCGCGAGTTTGTCGTGCTCTTGTCAATAGCGCAACCCTGGATGCCGAAGCCCGGGCGGTGCGGCGGGCGGCGGGCGGAGCGACAGAAATAAACACCTCGGCGACTTAACAATGCAATAAAAAGAAATTAACACTTTGACGTCCGTCGCCTGCGTTAAGTTGACTCGTGTGTCATTTGGATGTAGTCCAATCTCTTATGTACACTTTTGAATCATCTCTAGCTACTTCCGCTAAGTGTGTACTGAAATAGAGATCGGAATCGAGGGCGATGTAATATTTTTATATTTCCTGTAAGATTTAGTGATTGTCTTTTGTTATGTTTATTTTATGTTATATGAGTTTTTTTTTGTTGCAGGTTTCGGTTTGGCGGCGGCGGCGGCTGCTGGCGTACGCGCCGGTTATCCAACGGTGTTACAATCTCCATATGGGTGAGTGGCTATCCTCTGCACCCTGAGCTCTGTATAAATGTTCAATGGTTCAACACTTCGATATTTGCCAGCACTCGCGGTGCCGCATGCCGCTCTGATACATCTCACGAGACAAAAATCAGACCTAGACCTTTAGGCAATCTTAACACCACATGTTGACATCATGTAAACAAATCAAAGATAGGGACAGGAAATATTTAAAACTATTATTCGTGATATGTTTTTGTCTTGATATTTTTACTATCGCACCTTCATAATTATAGAAGCTTTATAATTTTTGAATTGACTTCAAGCTCGATAGACCAGACATGTATCCCTCTAATTGGTTCAGACTAATGTTTAAGCAATATTAGACTTGTTAAATAGGCGTGTTCAATGTTTCAATAGGTGAGTTAGACGGAACGGCTACAATATTTTGAGCTGACTTTTGTCTCGGTAGATGATGCGAGCGGCGTCCCCGGACGGCTAGCGACGTGGCGGCCGGCGGACTACACCTAGACTAAATTATCAAAGATTTTCACATAGGTATCTATGGCAAGAGTGAGCGTGCGAGTGGATTTTTTTCGTTTTGGGTGTGAATTAGTCGATTGGGTTTTTTAATGTTTACGTTTTGATGCTAAAATAAAGGATGGGCGGCGCAGGCGACCCGGCAGCGCCCGCGCCGCCCATCGCCGTCACTGTACGCATCGTTCGTCACTCAATGTTTTTTTTTAATGTTTTATGCCGTGTTCGTGTAAGACTTTTTTTGTTGATTGGAATTGAGTTTTGTTGGTGGTGGATTTCGTTTAATACATACACACTTACAAAGGTGCGTGCGCGTCGAGGCTGCGCTGTGTGTGCGTAGGTGTGCGCGCTGCCTCGACGTGAGTGTAGCGTTCCGAACGCCGACAAACTGTGCTCAGTCTTTGAGTTCCTAGTTCGAACTAGGCTAGTATTTTAGTCGAGTCGAGTAATGTAGCAATTAAATATATTTCAAACACGAATATATTAGATATCATGAATATATTACCCTAAAAATAGCGACTCCCCACCCTTTGCTGATCACAGGATACAGATAGCTAAACAAGTATGAAATTGTCATTTTAGTCGATTTCATTAGATGCCAATATAAGTAACTAACTCAGCTGTACTCGACCGTAATACAAACGATTTTTGGATAGAGTATAATAGTATTATTGATTAGTTTTAATTCTACTAAAGTACTAGCATAGTCGGAACCAGGCTTTAATTACCGATACATCGGCCGATCGATGCCCGGGCCAGGGCCGCTGGCACGCGCGTCTCTCTACCCACCACGGCCATTCATATATTATTCATCCGATGATCTAATTGAAAAATAATCAAACAAATGCTTCACTCGATTAATAGCTCTTTGCTTTCAATTCAAAATAAACACTAGGCACCGTATCATTTTCAATTAGAGAGTGACCTTTTTATATAGAGCAATAAATATTCCATATATTGTGATTGCTCATAATATTGGCGTAATTTGTATAATATCTTAATATCTAGTATTTCCATATTTTTTTATATATAAAAATGTAGGTATCTTTAGACCTCCTTACCTATTACGTCCTTGTCTAAATGCACATTAAACTTACTTATTACCTTATTAAGAACTTTCGTTTCCTCGATTTCTGTCTTTAACTTATTATGTACCTCTCCCTCAATAAAGTTTCTTTATTTTAGTATCTGATTGTGGTTTTGTACCTTTGTAGATGTTTCAGTTAAGCTTGTGTGATGGTCTGCCAGTTTTATAATGCTGTTTGAATTTACTATTGTTTTATTTATTACTTCACACTAAAAATTTTAACTGACGGACAAAAACAAAACACGTTCACGCACCTGAAACTTATACATACAGCATTCATCATTGTGTCAGCTTAGTTGTACGTAATGTTATAAGCGAATCACTCACGAAATAATATTGCCACATGTTAAAATGGTCCCGTTGATAAGATTGGACAAATTTACACCGCTTCAACACCGAAATTCATAGCGAACCAAGTTTACGAAGTTAGATAAAGTAGGCATTCGCGAATAGGACCAGTAAACCACAGGTGGGCGTTCTAGGCGGGCGGGGTTTAGGGCGGGCGTGTACACGCATGCGCCTTGTACCATACCGCTTTGCAATCATGACTCTACTGAACTTGATCTCACCAGCTGCACATCTCCCTCAAACGCATACGGTTGAAAGGAGATAGAAGTGGCTGCATCCCGCAAGTTCGGTTGGTAATAAAGTGGTCGAAGAATGAGTGCCCTAGAGAAGTGCTGAGGTTGCACGACCGACACCGCGCCCTCTCTCGATGAACACTTGACCGGCTTCGTGTATACCGCAATTAAGCGAAGTCGACACTTCGCAGCCTTGCTCTAACTCAATATCGTGATTTAAAAATCATCCCATACGCCGGTTTCTTCGTGTAATTTTGGGATATTTTAGCCAATTATGTGGTTCAAAATGTCTTAACCCAACAAATTTCCTTTGAGTAGTCTGCGTCACTTCCTCTGAATCTGTAAAGCTTTCGGGATTTCGTAACTGACACGTGCCAGCATCTAAATCTTAATTTCCACGACGTCCCCCAACGATCTGACGATAAATACGAAATGCCGGATATTTCGGTCGACATGCACGTAGTGGACGCTCGCGCTCCCAATATTTTTATAATAGTTTTTTTAAACTATGTTGGCAATGACGCACGGCTGCGGTACCTACTGCGGCGACAAACTCCAGCCAAAATAAACCGTGTACCTACTTACATTTTGAGTTTACTGTAACTGTTTATCGATGTCTACTAACATAACAAGACTAGATGCTCGTGGCTGTCGCTGCAAATGGGGCTAGGTAATAGTGTGATGAAAGTTTTGGACAGTATTAATTTTGCAACATGGATGACCTTTCACTGAGCAAATACCTAACTTCGGCTAATAATCTGTGTATAGTCATAATTACTTCTGTGAGAGGGCATCTCAGGATTACTTGATTTCTGACGTTTAGGAAGAGTTTATTGAATTGTATAACAACAAAAAGCATTCGTCTATCTTTTTTACCAATCGTGGAATTTGGAAGCCTTTCCTAAACGTCGGAAGCCTTGTTGTCTGTCCGTGCGTAGTACTGACCTTTGGATCGATTGGCAGGTTGTCACCCGGATACGTGTACGGCGCGCCCGGTTACGTAGGCACGATGGGTGGGGTTGGGGCTGGAGTTGGCGCTGGCGCAGGGGGCCTGGTCCAGCTGCCTCAGCTGCAACACGCTGCGGCAGTGGCGGCGGCCAACCATCTATATGAATACCAAGCGGCGGCCGCGCAAGGCGCTGCGGCTTATCAGCAGCAATACGCAGCGGCCGGTTTCGACCCTTACGCCACTGCGGCAGGTTGGCATCTGTTATAATAAGCTTAGTACCTGGCCAGGACATTGGACTTGACAATGAGTCCAGCGATGGTTTACTCTCATTCGGTTAGCTGGGCTTTACGCTAGTCCCGACGCTGTGGGCTTCGTTTCGTGGTGTGCTTCTAACATTTTTCTACATTTCTTCTCATCGCTGGCCTGAATTGAACAGGCTGGCCACGAGTATGCACGACTGGGGGCGTGACGAGCGATTTACCTGAACATTACGTTCCCGCTGTCGTGTAGTAATTTAGATTTGTGAACAAAAAGAGCTATGAGTTAGCATTTCGCTCAACGCACCGCCCCTCCTAACGCGCGTCCCCGTGGCCAGCCTGTCAATGGTCGCTCGTAGCGGCAAGGTTATGGCTGATACTGTATATCACTAAAACCTGATTTCTTACAGACTATCTCAGATAAATAGTCGATGGTTAATTGAACTTATTCGTTTTTGAGATATGAACTGGATCCTACTTACAGTAGGTTACTTAGCGACTTCTGGCTTTTAAGCTGCATTCTTACTCTGCACAATTGTTTATTATCAGTGAGTAATATCAAGCAAAAAATAATTTATTAAATTCATCGACACGCAAGTTATTCACAGTCAGTCACTAATAAGATTACACAGCTGCGTCATTGTCGAGTAGATATTTGTTTGCATATCGACAAGAAAATAACATATTTCATTGCTGTTACAATAACTAAGTATTGAATCAATGGGATTTCTGTGTGTATAATAATATAATATACATACACATTGCAAAGAGAACCTATTATTAAAGAATTGTTAAAACAATGTCTAACAATTTAGCAGTCAGCAATTTTATTGTAATAGGTATTATTTCCAATAACATGTATTTTGCTCATTGATAAGGCAAATAAATAATAATAACTTTAAAACTTCTTATACGTCCTAACTTTAAAGTCGATGATTTCCTAAGCGTATTAATAATGTTTTATTAAATTACAATAGGAGTAATGTTTTATTTGAGAATTTAGTACCTGATAAATGTCTCGGAGTCGGACATATTTTGACATATTTTTGGGTTATTCAACTATAGTTATGTATGACTATACATAAGCATAGGATCATTTAACTAAACTGCTGATATCTCGTCCTATTTGATAATGAAACCTAGCAAATAATCGTGTAGTAGAAGAAACTTCGAGAACATTCCAAATAGGTCTTAAAACCTCATTACAGAATATTCTTACGTTTAAAAAAGACATGTATGTTTCAGCAGCGGCAGCGGCTGCGTCAGGGGCCGGCTACGTTTCACCATACTACGCGTTACCAGGGGGTGGGGTACAAGCCCCCCTTCTACCCCCTCTTCCGTATCCTCCACAGCTGCAAGAAGCGAGAATGCAGTAGATCTCACATCGGCTACGTTACCCACACCACAATGAACTGTATTTCAACGTGTACAAAGTCCGTTATCCAAACTAATGCTTAGGTATAAGGTCGCGACAAACTTCTTCAGCAAAACCACAGATAAATAAATTTGCGCATTGGACGTTTTTGTATGTAAAACTGCTACTGCGCAGGCTTCCTTGTCTATGGTCGTTGCTCAAGAAGTTTGCTGGGATGTAGAGAGAGCCTTTAGAGGAATATCTCGGACTTAAGCATATAAAATTGTGACGTAAGCCGATACCAAAAGGGCATTACGAAGGTGATAGATGACAAGTGGCTGTTAAAATTATTACTTATATAAATTAACATCAAAGATATATCTTTCGTATAATGCACTGTTTCAGTCATAGACAAATGGTGGAATGGTGACGTTCGTTACCGCAGTAAGCCAAATATTTATACTAAAGCATAGTTGATGTCTAGAACTAGTTGAATCTATCAACCAAAAATATTAATAAATGACCAAAGCTGTGAGCTTTTACTTATAGTATAAATGCCTCAACGGCAAAGTTGTACCCATGGTTAGATGGAAATATAAAATACGTTATATAAGTAAGAGGTACTTACGTCTAGTTACTACGATATTTTTAAATACATATAAACTACTTTTAAAATACGTTACCTACACACCAAACCTAGCCTCATAATTATGTATTCAACTTCCTGACATCACACATATTTTCCTATTTTTTATACTTACTAGGTTAATGATTAGATATATTTTTTAATAAAATATAGATAAAATTTTCATTCACTGTCCAATATTAATTAATTAGTGAACTAGCGCATAGGAGCAAACAGCTGCTAAATGACAATAAAGCTATTTAAATAAATAAATAAAATTATGCTCATACTTAACTAATAAACAACCAACCGAATACTTTGTTCAGAGAGAGAAAATAATTAGAAAATACATGCGTCTATTAAATTTCATACAAAAGAGGGAATAAACTTTGCTTATTCTCATTCCATTTTAAGGTAAAAGTCCGATATGGACTGCAGACTGCAACCGCAGGCGTCAGTGCGGCTAGCGGCTGCGGTCGACCGCAGTGCTGCCTACGGTATGCCGCAACTGCACAATGCATAGATCCATGCCTCAGTCATTCCAGAACCTTTATGCGAAACATAATTTCGTACATGACTGGATGACCAGCAACAAAGTTAAAATATTTTTTTCGTCATCGTCCGAAAACGTCGACAACTTCGTTTCGTACTTGGGAACTGTCTGCGGTTCGCGACAGGCGCTGAAGTCTGAGCGGCGGTCGCAGCCTATCTCGGACTTGTACCTTTAGAAAAAAACAACCTTTTGGTGATGTTGTGTTTCTATTGCTAAGGTTCCTGGGCTCCACGGTATAGGGGATTGGGTTCAGATTGGAAAGTTGAGAATTCATGGATGGAGCTATTATTAGCTATGCCTTTATAAAAAAAGTTTTGTTCATTACTAACTGTAGCTTATTTTATAAGGCAGAAAATGTATCTGCTATAAATAAATTCACATCATAGATTTTCACTTAGAGACGCCATTAAATAGTATGTTTGATAAAGTGTCGTGTTGTTTTATTCTAATGACCGCACTTTAAACAAACTTATAATTTAAATGACGTCTGTGAGTGCGGCTGTTAGGTACCTACATAACTACATGCACTACTTCTATTCTCAACGCTATGTCCAGCGATGATCAAAACAAAAGTAGGAAGGTACCTATTGAATATAATTATGGCAGCTAATAAATAAACTTTCAGAATAATTTTAAATTCGTATACGAATATTCATCGCAAGCATGCGAACTCACTTTATATATTTTAAATCGACGTATTTTCTTCCTAGTAATTTCCATTTTACGTAGATTCTAATTACCTACTTAACATATTATTAATTGTACTTATATAATGAAGTTACTTAAAAGTTATTAATTTAAATGTAAGTAAACAAAAGTAGGGATGGTGATGATATGAAGTTTCAATGACGTTGATGTTTTAGTTTGTTGAAAAAAATACCTTTTGCACCAATGAAATGTATGGTTGAAGCGCAATGCTTGCGGAGTTCAGCAGTGCTATTCTGTAAGACCAACTAACTTTTCACCTCGGAATACGCAGTGTGATTAAAAATTAGAACACGAATTTCGTATAGGTATATTTTAAATCACACCGGCGAATGCCGCGGTGAAAAGTGAGTTTGTTCTTCTAACAGAGTAGAACTTTTTTAATGATTCAGGACCTTAGTTTTTTATCACATTTTGCGATGATGCACCAATTTTGGTGCATTTTTCGGGTACATAAAAAAGTCTGTATTTGTACTGGACAAGTTGTGTAACCATTTGAAGTGATTTTATGGATATTATTATATGGCAAACTATAGTAAAAATTAAATGCGTAGTGTCCGCATTCTGATGTAGGTAATTAACCTGAGAGACCATGACACTGACAACGTAAGCTTGAAAATTATGGGTAAATTGCTATTGAAGAGATAAGAAATGCGTCCGTTTGGATAGGGATTTGGGAGATACAATAGATTTCAACGAGATACTTAATTTATTAGAAATTGAAATTGCCTCTTTTTGGCTGGTCAGTTCATAAGGAATTTTAGCTGGCATTTTGGAAATGTTTCAGTTATATTTTCTTAATGTTGTTAAGAAAAAACAATAATAATGAGGAAGAATACTTTTTCATTACCAGTTTACTCTTTAAACTTTGAGAAAAGATTGATAAATCAGGACATTTGATCATGCGCTGAAAATTGAAGTGGAAAGTGTGTATGGTAAGAGTTAATATTATACTGAAAAAATGGCTATGGTATGGAGACGGTTCGCTGTATAATTCTAGTTTCTAGGTCTGTATTAACATGTCCATGTTGCTCAATAGGTCCACGACGGACTTGGTTTAGCTTAAGGTCGAAGGAGAGCAATAAAGGGCTAATTATAATTTGTAAAATTTAATCTTAAGTATTGTACTTAAATATATCTCAGTGAAAAAATAATGTATGTAGGTATTAAAGGCCCTTTTGTATACTAACTATTGTTCTCCAAAGCGGTATAGGGTACTTACTAGTTAGAATAATTCAATTACTAGTCCATGTAATTTTAATGTAATGATTTTAGACGTTCGCCGATCGCACTCCCCCTTGTTTAAATCTAGGAAATGTAACCTAAAGCTTTTAGTTTTTTTTAAGTTGTTTGTTTAGTTTTTTTTAAGTTGTTTGTTTAGTTTTTGTTTATTGTTGTTGATTTTCAGTCCAATTGAGCACAGACGCTATTGAAATAGTTTAAAATTTTTGGATTCAATCTATATTTATCTTCATTGCAATGTGGGAAATAACAAGTAAGTATAATCAAATATTTTGTGTAATTGTCCCTAAAATTTCAATTTCTCGTTACATGTGCGAACGTATAGTGAGACATTTGGATATTAAAAAAAATAATTAGTCCATTTTTTCTATGCTATTTTAGACTGGGTCAGAGTCGATAGATTGTAAATCATTGAGGCTCCAAAACTAATTAGCAGATATAGTGTGGAATGGCACAGAGGCCCAAACACGAACTTTCACAGATCCGCTTAGATTAAAACATTTTTTGTTTTAATCTAAGCACCTATCATGAGCACCGCGATATGATATATTACTCGTTTTTATCACGCTCAAGTGTCAAATTACTATGGAGTTTGACAGTTAGACGCGATAAAAAATGTGATTTAACGTAAATTGAGGTGCTTATGCTACGAGGACAGATCCGTAATCGTATCGTCATCGTTAAATTTTGTATGGAAGGAGATAGTTGGTTTTTTACGTCCGTTAGGGCGCTGCTTAGTTTTCATACTTTTTTTCTATTTATCTATAAAGGACTTTTGTCTAAAAAGGACACGTCAGTTATATTGAATCTTAATCTAAAGATAGAAAATTTTACTACGGAGCTGTCAAAATTCGTATTTGGGTCTCTGTCCTTGAATTTCTCACGAGCTTCGTGTAAAAGCTCATAGGGTATAGAAACATTTCAAGGGATCAGATCGGCGACACAGTACAAGTTAGGGGCACTAGAGTATAAGATATCACTGAAGCTTAGTTGTTAAGGCTAATCTTATTGTAATATGCTGTTATTCGTAATTTATTTTGTTGATATTTGTAAATCTACATGTTGATAACTATTTATTATGTGGAAGAGTAATAAAAATTGTTAAATATTTAACGACCGGGCCAACTCTACTATTGGCTCTCGTACACTGAGTTTAATAACGGTCCGGTTCATATATTAAAATATACACATTAATAATAACATAAATGTAAGTAGATTAAAATTAGGTACATACTAAATAAAACAGTAAAACGTATTAGCCATAACGGTGGCCATCTTGCCTTAATATAATAAAAAATAGTAATTATAACATATTGTGTACTTATTCTTTATACAATATTATATGGCATTAACATCACATATCATTGTAATCATACAGGTATAATAGTATTCAGTGCATTTTCGCACTGTACAGTCCATTATAGTGCATTTCATTCGCGGTTAATTATAAGCACAATTATTATATTTATATGTATTACATATACCTACTTATATGAATGTCAATTCATAATAAATGAATACCTAATAATTGTTATAATTAATTTAAAATTATACTACAATGTATTTAATTTAGGATATTATAAATAAACAGAAAATAAATCTATAAGGCGAAGGTTTCGAGTGTTTTCTTTTACTTAATATCATCCGAAATTCTCGTTCCAATGAACGTAAGAATTGTCTCTGATGCCTGATGCCTCTCATCAGATAAAAGTGTTCCTTCGATCGGCCACCAACTGTACATAGATCAAATATTCTTATATTTTAGGGTTCCGTACCAAAAGGGTAAAAGAGGAACCCTGTGGTCTGTCTGTCCGTATGTCACGGGTCTCCGTCTGTAGAACGGTTCCCTTCTTGCGCGAGTCCGACTGGCTCTTGGCTGGTTTTTGTATTGTAGACCAAATCTACGAAGAAATAATTTTTATTTTAAATAGTACATTTTTTTGGCACGCGAGCCCAACTATCACCGGGCCCAAAAATGTAACATAAGGGGTTTTTGAGGAACTGTATTTAACTGTATATTAAAGAATCATAATGCTTAACTAAAGATATAAAGTTATGTTTTTATTTATTTTTAAAGCATTTCACTGCTAGAAGTTTAAATCTAAAGAAAATTTTACTAGAAAAAAAAAATAATAAAGATATATAATTTAATAGAACACCAAATGATTGCATAATAATTATTTATATTCCTTAGTCAATGGTGATTGAATTAAAGAAAAATATAGATTACGTCAGACAATATTTTCCGCGATGAATGAGAGTAACGCCCTCGAATAGATGAAATTCGGCCCGCGATCATTGAACAAAAATCAAAGGCAAAACCATAATGCACAATTTTTTCACATGTTCCGACGAAGAATATCCCGTTGCCGAATCACTGCTACCTATAGAAGTATTCACTTCGCAGGCCTGAGCAAAAATTTGTTCCGCCATTGATTATGATAGTAGGTAAGTACTTAATAATGGTATAAGAAAAAAGTTTGCCCATCCCTAATCTAGACCCAAATCATGCCAAATATAATGTGGCATCTTGGTGGCAACGATGTGTATGAGGGGGACGTTTATACGACTTTTAAAAAGGAGTGTAATGTTTTCAAAGTTCATGTATACAGTATGTAATAAATCCTATGACAAACTACGCATTCTGTACACCCAAACAAGTAATATTACAAAAAATGATACGTGGGAAAAATGTGTATCATCATCAGCCTATTAATGTCCCTACTGCTGGGGCACAGGCCTTCCCTATGGATGGATTAGGGAGAAAAAAAATGTATTTTTAAGTTAACATAATAATATTATTTTTCCAGTGCACAATGTATAGCGCGGCGCGATACTGTGGCGCTACGCAAAGAATGTGCCTATATGTATGGGTGTGCGTGTGTGTAAGTGCGTCGATCAAAAAGTTTGTAAATAAGTTTTTGAAAATATTAATGAAAAATCTTGAAAAAAAAAAATGTGACTTCAATATCTTCATAACTAAGAATTTCAGAGGTCGAATGTCCAGAAGAAAAAAATGATCGTCATGATGTGGAAAATACGTGGCCTTCGACTTCGCTAAAGGTTTTTTTTACAACCTGTATAATGTTTATATGCGTGTTTTTTTAATCTACTCATACAAGTTCTAAATGCCTGAACAGATTTGGAAGTACTGAACAATATTCTTATGTTAAAATTAAAAAGATCTCTGAATTTAAAGTGTTTCCGCAGTAGTACTTTTTGAAATTTGTGTTTTGACTTTTAGTACAGTCAATCTGTCGAAAAATTGTAGGTGGCGCTAAAGTCTCAAAAAAGTGTTTTTTCACTTTTTCACCCTGAAAATATCATTTTGATGGAAAACTATAAATGGAAAAGTTGTTCCGTACATAATTACCAACAACTGTTGTATAAACAATTTTTTAAATTACTTACAGTTTTAAAACCTAAAGGGTATAAACCTTTAGGTTTTTTTTTCACCACTCAACCTACAGATTGACTGTACTATTTTATATTCGATGTTTAAACTTGGAATCGGGTATTGATTTAAATATAAATATTAATATTTTAAATATAGTGCAACAAAGACCTTTATGAATGTGGCGAAAATTGGAACTACGCTTGTTCCGTCTTTGTAACAACGATATTGTAAATTTAATATTTTGTATGTTATTAACGGTCATTTACCGACCCTGAAAGGGTATATATGTAACATAATATAACTGTCATAAATGTATATTACTGATAATATAGATAATTTATATACCATAGACAAGATGGTACGTAGTCTTAAAGATACCTATAGCAATTGAAAGACGCAAGCCACGAGTTCGTTGTTCGTATGTGATTATTTTGATAAATTGCTTAAACTCAACTGAATGAAAGAACAGAAGTGTTCTTGTAAGTATCCGATGGAAATAGGTACTAATATAACTCTCAGTAGACATATTTAAAGCGTCGGTTGGGCCGAGCTATTTTCATTACATTCCACAAAAAAGTGGATTGACAAATTTTTGTCGTAGACCATTTGGAACTATGCCAGCGAGAGTAGCGTTGGTTTAAAAAAAAGCTAGTTAAACGAATAACATCGATAATGTAACTGGGACAAAATACTTAGAGCATATTTATATACTACTAGAGGGCCGCCCTAGTCTTAGTTTTAGTAGTACGGCGGGTTGTTTCCGCAACTCGACACCCAGTGCCTATTTTGCGTGGGGATTGGCATTAGTCCTGCCATCCCAGCTCCTCCAGAAAACTCAACAGTCCCCGAATGTCGCTGCAGGCCTCTACTATTGTATTCGGGCTTTCCATTAGAGCAGTCCTTTATCTTGCAACGCCCCTGCACTCCAGTAGGACATGGGCGCTCGTCTCATCCTCCTCCAGGCAGGCTCTGCACAGAGAGCTGTCAGAAATACCTATATTACACAGGTGTTTGTTGAAGTAGCCGTGATCCGTGAGTATACCCACGATTTGTTTTAGGGCTTGTCTAGATAGTCTGATTAACTCACGTGTTAGCTGCATGTTTACCTTAGGAACAGCTTCCCTAGCTTGCCTGCAATCCGTGAGTTTTGACCAGTATTCGTCGTGTTGTCGTTGAGAGCGCTCCCTTATTCAGGTACGCAGCTGTCGATAGGGTATGGGTACAATTGGCTCCGGACCAATGGCCGTCCTGCTGGACACTTCCCTGGCCAAGAAGTCCGCCGCATCGTTACCCCTTGAGCCGCTGTGTCCTTTAATCCACTGTAAGGTCAATCTATTGTCGTTAGCAATATTAGTCAACTGCTTACAGTGGCATTCATAAATTAAGCCTGATGTCATTATATTGTTGTCCAGTGCCTGTAGGACAGAAGCGCTGTTAGAGAGAATACGAATATGTTTTCCTCTTACCCCGCGACAATCTATCGCCTCAGTGGCTCTGATGATGCCCACACACTCTGCCTGGAAGACCGTGTTGTAGGCTCCCAATTTCGTCGAGATGTGTATATTTAGGTGTTCGGAGAAGACACCCGAACCTGTACCATAGTTGGTCTTTGTACCGTCTGTGTAGACCCCTCAACTCCTTATGCAGACAACGGTCCTGAGTGTCTTCATAAAGTTTTAATTTTATATTTTTTGTCGAATACGTACGTCTTAACTTATTAATTGTCGTTATTGTGGGTTACCTACAATGCGAAGAAATGGCACTGCCTTGCAGCTTAATGCTAGGAAAATTTCGACGCGGCCATCAGGGTCGTGGTAGCATAATTGGTGAGTGCATTCACCCAGATCGCGAAGGGTGCGGGTTCGAGTCCCGTCCGCTGCCTGGTCCGCGTGGATTTTTTTCTAGTAAAACTTTTCTTTAGATTTAAACATCTAGCAGTTAAATGCTTAAAAAAACATGAATACGTACGTCTTAGGAATAAGGTCGTTTACTGCTGCAAAGTACGAAAAGTGCCTGTGTATGTCTGCTAAGATGCTGGTGTGCGGGGAGTTGTTGTCTCTCCATAGCCCCAGCATGCTTAGGCGTGTGGCTGTACAAGCAGCTTCCTGTTATATAAACAAACTAGCAAACCCAGCGAACTCCGTTTCGCCACCAGATAGCTTCGTTTTATGTAACATTTCGTTTTGTGATTAAAAGAAAACGATTTTTTTTTTATTTTTTCCTGAATTTTTTTTGCTATAAACCTCACGGAGCCCGAGACCTTTCCAACGAATGCAAAACCGTGGAAATCGGTTCGTGCGTTCTGGAGTTATAGCGTCAGGAAGGGAAACCCGACTTATTTTTATATAGTAGATGGAGTGGTTTCACGTTAATTATTGTCTCCAGTGCTGATGTGGGAGTGGTTTTCATGCAGTCGGTGATTGCACAGCATGCCCGCTTCTGGAGACGTCTTGACTTATTAATTTTCGTTACCTGGATTGTCTTGGTCCACCATACCACTGCTGCATAGCTGATGATGGACTTAATTGTGGTCGTGTACAGCCACTTAATAATGAGCGGTGATAGTTCCCAAGGTTTACTAATCATTTTACGACATTGCCAGAAAATGGGGAAATTCAGTGGAAACAAACCGTCCAATAGAGATATCACTCAATAGATAGATTACGCAACGGTTGCTGTTCCATACCTATGTCGTATTATCTCTTTAACCATTCATCCAAATTATATGCAGCAAAGGTCATAAAACTTATAAGAGCCGCGTTGTTAACCAGCTAACGTTGAGTGGGCCACAGGTGGAGGCCTCGTTGTCAATCAGTGAACGTCAGGTGGTCGACGGGTAAGGTGGAAAATTAAGCACCTATAAAGTGTGTTAGAGATAGTTACTAAGTTTACACGTGTGTTTTCAATGATTAGAAGAAAATGATATGAGTCATCAACTCGCAGTCAGCGCGCGGTCCACTTAGGAGTATCGCGTTTACAACCAGGGAGCCAATCGCCTAACCGGATTGCTTTGGAAAACGCTATCGCTTAAGATTTCATTTTGTTATTTCTAGCCCCCCCCCCCCCCCCCTGTTTTCAAATGCCTCGCGCTTTTTTTTCTATTGCATTGTTAATAACAATATTAAAGAAAATGAGCGTGAGGTATTTGAAAACCTTCGGCGGCGGTCAGAAATAACAAAATGAAAGCGTAAGCGATAGCGTTTTCAAAGCAATCCCGTTAGGCGAATGGCCCCCAGCGCTTGGCATACGGTAAACATGCGTGCTGCGTGTGGTCGCCGAGTTGTCCACCGCCGCCCTCGGGCGGACAACTTGCGAGTAAGGCAATCTGGTGACGGTATGGAGTTGATGTAGTGAGCGTATACGAAGAAATTTATACAAATAATACAATAGAGGCTGGTCGGGTGCCGGGTGTGACCTTAAATTTGAAAAGTCCTTCGATTTAACACTTCAGACGATAAAACCTACACATTTTGATAGGAATTCATAATTATTGATAATATGACCAATAAACCTGACAATACACTTTTTAAACTATGTATTTTTATAAAATAAAAACCTAAATACTTTTTGAGACTTTATTATTAATGTTAGACATAATGCTGTCGCTGACTTTTTGTAGGGAGGCATAAGCTCTACAACTTTTCTCTAAAACTCAATCATATAAATCTCATCGTTGCGTTCGTGGAACGTTTTTGTTCGACCATTTTTCTCTGTCTTACTTTGCAAATCGGACTACCACGAAAAAGTATTTAAAATTTACGGGTTAATAATAGGTCTTAACATATGAAATTGCCGTTCTGCCGTACAGGCTATTTTCAAGTAATTTTTATTCATTTTTCGCTAAGAATTCTAAGTTCAAATTTTTATTTTTAAATTATGTAATTCTTGTTTGAAAATTTGTCATTTGCTTAATGTGTTGGTTAGCGTTCTGTTTTCAATACGCATTTGTACGGTGTTGTTAGGAGTCTGTTTTTATTTGGGGCATTGTTAAGGTGCTGAACCAGGATCTGACCAACTTGCTGAGCGCTTGCGATTGTCGAATAGAATCAATTTTTTTTCGATCGAACAATGCGATTCAACAAAATATGCCTTCGTTTGTGTACCTGTAGAGCAGTACAAGGCCGACTCGATGCGTAATTCTCGCTGGCGATCATTCAATTCGTGGGGCATCCATTTGTCAAGTTTGTTTAGCGTGCCAATTGCAATTTCTTATGTCTTCGTATTTTACTCCGTTTTAGAGAAAGAAGAGATCTTTGATGCTTTGGCACCAAAAAATGATAAATAAACTTGCCATTTGCCTATCAATAATAATATAATTTTACAAATTATTTTTTTTTGTAATAGGGGATAAAATAATTACTAGATTTTTGTCAAACTATTTACATCTAAGTGCACTACATTCTACATCCCATAATTTTTTTAAGTTTGTCGCAGACTCACTACCCATACAAAGAACCTTTTCCTTTATTGACCCTTTGTATAATTTTTAGGCTTCGTGGTCTATGCGTGGTGGGAACACCGTTGATTACTGTATAAATTCAATTATAAATCTAATTAAAATAAAAATACCGTTTATTTCAGATCAAAGTCAAATACAGCTTTCGAAACATATTTACCGGTAAGTATTATACCTAAATCCTTGTAGTGGAACTTCTTGTTCCCGCTCCCACTAGATAAATTGACTCAAGACTCATATATCGCATTACTAAACACATGTAAGTACCAACCTACCTGAGAATCCGCTGAAAAGTTTTATTACACTAAAAGATAACGGAATCATGAAATAACGTAGATTATTATTGATTGTTTAACAAAAACATTATTAATTTATTAATGGAAGCTCGTTAACATAGTGGCTATAACACGTTCGGTCTGCGACCGTGAGAGATAATAAGTTTTTTAATGAAATTAAAAAATATCAAGCCGATTGTGTTTCGGAAGCCATGATCAAGTTGTTGGTTCAGACCACAGAACACAGAAAGAGGTTCTAACTGTGTCGACATTCGTTAGCAATAGCACCAAAAGATCCAATAATCCGTATAAGTCCAATAGGCCTATTCGTTAACTGCTTTTGACAGATTGATGGAAGTGATAATAATCTTAATCTTGACTAGGCTGTATGAATGTATTTACCATTGCTTTCATTAAGAGAGATTGTAGCAAAAAAAAAAAGAGTGACAGGACAGCGACAGATAATGACGTTGACATTTCATTGAAAGATTAAGTTTGGCCGCTTCCTGTTTTGTTGATATTTAGTTTAGTTAGTTAAAAGATTTAGTGATTGGTTTCCTTGGAAGTTAACGTACCAATTGTTCCATTACCATGGCGGGGCAAGGCCATCAGTTTCCTGGTAATTTTCAGCCGAACGCTGGAGCAATGAGGTCTGGTTTCGGCGCAGGGCCGATGGGCGGTCAAATGCAAGGAATGCCGAATCAGCTTGGAGGTAATTTTTAATAAACTAAAAAGAGAGTTATTGTATTAAATACTTATTTCATGAAAAATACCAAAAAAATACTAACTACTTCAACAAATAGTAATAATGCTGATAAGGTCATAATAACAGTTCCTCCTATTGCTTGTAAGTTATTTAGAGCTTTAGTAGAAAATATTACAGTCACTCTTTGATTTCATAATAATTTGATATTATGAAATCGCCCAGATAGCGTAAGATGCGGGTTGAAATCTGGTCTGAAACCTGTTCCTAGTGGATTTATTTCTATAGACTTAAACATCTAGCAGTTAAATGTTTGAAATAAGAAATATAAAATTATTAAAAATTTCTTGAAGGCATCCATAGTTATAATATTAAAGTTTTGCCCTTTTCAGGTGTTATGGGTGGCCCAATGGCAAACACTGGTGGCATGGTAGGAATGGGAAATCAAATGGTCACTCCATATGGTGCAGCCATGCAGAATCAAATGGGGAATATGGGGATGGGATCTCAGGTAATCCATTATGCTAGCAAAATTTCACTTTTAATGCAATATGCTCTTAGATCATGGTTAGCACTATTAAATCATTTTGATTTAAATAAAAATATTTTTTCAATAAAAGTCAATGATTTAATCAAATGTATTTAAGTTTACATTCTTTACAAGTTTTTAAGTTCTTTTTCTTTGAAAATTATGTGTCGTTATTAGCATGCTTAAATAAAAAGACTAGTTTACCAATCTTTTCAATTCCTACATGAAAATATTTGTTTCCAAAGTTTTCCCCACAGATTTCATTTATGCAAGAGAGGGAACCTGAAGACCCTGGGCTATGTTCTAAACCCCAGATTTCACACTTATACTTTAGGTGCAACCAATGTCAATTTGAGATGACTTTTATTTCAAAATTGAAGTGTCTGGTTAAAAAGTTACACTCAGAGGATACAGCCCTGCTAATATCCCAAGTGTGCTTTCCGGTTTTTGCAAAAATATTGTAAAACTGATAAAGATAGGAAATATATGTGGATGAAAAAATAAATCGGATTCATTGCAAATTTTTCAAAAAAATGTGATTTTTCCAAGCTTGTCTTAAATATTGCCCAGTGTTTATAATTTCTTTTATAAGTGATCCTATTCCATACAAAATTGACATGTAATAAACCAAAACATGCTGTTATAAAATTTATGTTTTAAAATTGTGCTGTGAATTTAATGGTAATTAATATAATTTTGTGACTAAATTTAATGTGAGTTAATAAAGTTCATAACAATGGAATAGTATAATCCTAAATTGCAAACTGCAATTAATGTAGATGATAACTTAAAACTTTATCTCCTGTTTGGACTTGGATTGTGAGAAAATAGTATCTGCTATCTATATAACAATGCATGTATCTTCTTCTTCCAGGGAATGGGAGTAGGTGTTGGTGGAGCGCCAGGTGCTGGCCTGGGACCACAAGCTGTTCAGCAACCAGGTATTTATAACTGTAAACTAAAGAGGTTGTATAAGCTTGTTGTTGTTGCACTACTACCGTTACTGGTTAGAGGCCTGAAAAAAAAATATGGCAACATTTCAGCCTTTTTCTTAAGAAAATTGGACGTTCTCAATGTACAGGCTCTGTGGATGTATTTGAGACCAATGATTTCCTATGAGCGGCAACGAATGCTATGCTATAAAACATTCCATTTAATACTTCCAATAAGTTTTAAAATATATGAAAGAAAAGGCAGCCTTGAAAGAATACAACCTTTATGATTAAAAATTCTAAGTGTGAGAGATACGTATTTCATTTTAGGTATAATATTTTACTACTTGAATACCTTGATAAAGATTTCTGTAACTTTTTTACCCAAGGTTTCTACCAGGTTACATAGTTCTGGTACATGATGTGCGTGTATTCAATCCGTAAAATATAATAGTATGTATGCAAATGAAAGTTTTCAAGTGTACTTATTTCCTTGTTTGCAATGTAGATTAGTATCATATCATGTTTAATTTAGGAGGGCTACAGACGACAGGTGCTGTAGCGACGGCAGTGCCGACTGCGCCCGCCGCTGCACCTCCACCGCAGAACAAGGAGTTTAACACTGCTTCACTGTGCAAGTACGTTTATATTTCAGTACCCTTAGTACGAGTTTGAGCTTACGAAAACTATCATAGTTTTCGTAATTGTAAATTATGTTTCTATGATCATTTTGGTGAAAGGTAACCAAATGTACTTAAAATTTAAGAAATGATTTAATGGTAAACAGTGTTTAAATTTTATAAAAAAACAATGAAATCAGTACCCTTAGTACTACTAAATCATCATTACTATCATAGTTTTCGTAATTGTAAAACTTGTACTAAGGGTACTTGGTGGGTTATCCTGTATGTCTATTACGCAATCAATGTGCCCGATTCTGGCATGCTTATCTAAACTTAAAACTTTTGACAATATTTCTCTCTGTTTTTTCAGTATAGTACATGACAAGAATACATTGTTGTCAAAGTTAACTTTAGATTTAGTGATCTTGCCAGAATTGAGCCCAATAGTAACCTGCTTCGGTTTTTACTAATATATGAAATTGCAATATTTATCATTGTTTCTGAACAGTTGGGGATTGCGTGCGATTTTTTTTACTTTCTAGCAGTAATTTTAATCTTGCAATTCAGTAGCAACTAGTCGGAAATCAGTTGTATATTCGGTATTAGGCCTGTCGTTTTCAGTTACCTTAAGGATCTTGCCTTCTCGAGGCTGTGAAGTTAGCATAAGTCGAAGTCAAAGTCAGAAATAAAGTTAAAATTCCACTATAAGTGCACTTGCGGTATTTAGTCTTAAAAAAAGTGTGCTGGTAGGCAGCACTCCATATTGTTTCTTTTAATAACTTTCTCGTGCTTCACCCACGAAATTAAATCTGGTTTACTGAACTATTTTGCAGGTTTGGCCAAGAAACAGTGCAAGATATTGTCAGTAGAACTCAAGACGTATTCCAGACTTTGAAGGCTATACAGGTATGTTTTATTAATTAATTGTTAGTGGCGTAGTGGTTTGTGTTTTCGGTTTGCGATCGTGGTAGTTAATAACTTTTGCTATGGCTGGCCATATGACGGGAGACCAAAATTTAGTATCTCAAGCTCAATCCTTTCCTTTGGAAGGCCTAAAATAAACACATTTTTATCACCACTAAAAACGTCTAGCGTGGAGATTTGATAAGAAATTACAAAAAAAGCAAAACTAAGGGGCATAGTATAACTTTATTATTGTGTGGGTAAAATTTCTTTGACATATGTTTTATTTTCGAGGAGGAAATTGTCGAGAGCCAAACCTCGAATATTGCAATTTTATACGTAATTTTCAGCGTTACCTACTTTTGTCCTTATCGCACGGTATTTAACAATGCGTGACAGCAATAGATTTTTCAAATACCGCATCCGCTCTTAAGCCATTAGTTCCAGCCGCATCTGCAATCATTAGCATCCACTAATCCGCACTGGGTCCGTTATCAGTTTTTTGGGACATTACAATTCCTCTCATGACGATATCTATTTACTAATCTTAATAAAAAAGTATTACCTTCACTGATCATCCCCCTATTTCAACATGCTGTATCTTGTAAACCGCTAGGTTGGCAGCTGTTATATAGCGCCATCTGGTGACATTCTGTTTTACTAAGAAATAATATCTTACCATCTATACTGGAGCTTAAAGTTTAGACTGTTTATAACACTCTAATACTTATTACTTACTGGAAGTACAACAAATCATCTCAATTTTTACCTGACACACAATAAGAAGAAATAATTTAACCTGAAAACATATTTGTTTCTTAAATTTTCACGCATCCACTCATTAATTCACGCATGAAATTAGTATTGAACATCAATAAGTGCGTTTTTAATATTTTTTACAGTACCTTTTGACGTCAAAAGTACTGTAACTGTACTGTACTTTTTTATAGTACTTTCAACGTCAAAACTTTAAACGTACTAAAACGCATTTATTTATTAAACATGTGTCCTAGTCGAGCTCGATGGCGCAGGTGGTTACCGCGTTTGGCTGCGATCGTTTAAGTTATAAAATAATTTTCGCAGTGGTCGGTCATTGGATGTGTGACCAAAAATCTTCTATCTCGAGTTCCTCCGTGCTTCAGAAGGCACGTTAAGCCGTTTGTCCCGGCTGCATCTGCAGTCGTTAGCACCCGCCAATCCGCACTGGGCCCGCGTGATGGGTCATGGCCAATCTGCCTTTTTCCAAGGCCTGTGCCTCAGCAGTGGGAAAATTAATAGGCTGATGATGATGATGATGATAATGATGTGTCGTAGCCTCCCAACGGTACGCAACACGGTGAGAACGCCAGCAATGATAAGAAAGCGAAGATGCAAGAACAACTCCGCACCATCCGCCTGTTGTTCAAGAGGTTGCGGCTCATCTATGAGAAGTGTAACGAAACCTGCCAGGTACTGAGCTTTTGAAGTGAAACTTCTTTACGCACGCTTGACTGGGGGGGGGGGGGGGGAGCTGGTGATGCGATACGCGTTACGAAAAGTGTGCCCGGGCGAGGCGAACGGGAGTTGAGTGGGGGACATAAGCAAGAGAAAACAGTGCGCGCGCACATTGTGCATACATGTATATATTTATATATATATATATACATACAGATGGAGCTAAAGAAGTTTCACTTCAATCGTGTGGTCATAAGCACTCGTTTTTTTTTTGATTTGTAACATCTTTACTCTCGCTTTCTTGCAATTTGTGGGAGTAATTTTGTGGCGCTGCTGTTCTAGTTTCTATACAAATTTTGGCAATGCACTCGCAAACGTAACGCATTCGATATTCGTTCGTGCTAAGCAGTATTTGCATATTTTTTGCAAAATTCTTATAAATATTACAGCTCACTCGTTCATAACATTTAAAACCAATGTCTAACATGGCAGCGTCAAGCGTGACCTGAAAATATTAATCAAATAGTCATTTCGGAAACGTTCCTGTACATAACCCGTACATAATAAGGCGTTCCCGAGATGACAATTTTTGCAACAACAACAACAATGCAAAAGATGCATGGAATGAAAGAGAAACACGAAAAACGATAAAAATAAAAACAAAAAGGAAGTCGAAAAAAAGGATTAAAAAAGTACAGTATATCCCATCATTTTCGGGAACATCACAAAAACGGCAAATAAATCACTAACAAGTAATGCTATAGTTAAATCTTGCATATACAATATCAAATAACCTTTAAACTTTTGCATTTATATTATTAATATATAAGGTAGTGCAAAAAATGTATGCAATAAATTGAAATCACGGAGCGAAATTTACATCAATTAAAAATTTATAGAGAGTACTTTGAAAAAAAAACGTTGTCAATTTAAAAATATACACATAACAACAATATCCGATTTAGGAACAGGTTAATTACAATTTCTAGAAGGTGATTCTTAAATGTTATAATATTATTAAAAAAAATATTTAAAAGTGTTCCCGAAATGACTTTTGTGTCTGGTATTATTCTTATTAAGTGGTAGAATTTCTAAATATATATTTTTGTGCGTGCCTCTTCATAGGAAAGGTTCATGACAAATGACACAACACATTTGTTAGTTTTCTTCAACGAAAACTTAATTTCTCAGATATTTGAAAACTTAAAATGCTCACCTCTATGATTTTGACCCATATGTATTGTATCAGTTACCCTAGTATCCCATAACACAACCCATACAGTGCTTAGCTTGGGGCTAAGCTAATTGGTGTGAGTGTTGGAAATATTTATTTATTTATAATTATTTATAAAGTCACTGTCATTTTTAAAGAATTTTATTGTTATTTTATTATTATTTCTAGGGTATGGAATACACTCACATGGAGAGTCTCATTCCCTTGAAAGACGAAGCAGAGAACAAGACGTTGGACGAAAGACGGAACACAGAATCTTACAGACTTGCACTCGAGGAAAATAGAGAACTTACTGAACAGGTGAGCACTACTGAATATATTAACCTCGAACCTGCGATCATCGAAATTAAGCAACTGTAGCGTCAGCGTGGACTATAAATCTTACACGCAGAGCTCATGATTAACAGCTTCTTCACATAATAGTTATTTATGATACAAGTGCGGTTTCACCCTCCAATCCCTTTTCACCTACCAATCCTCTATTATCACCCATCAATCTGAACTATCACCCACCATCCTATATTATCACCCATCAATCCCCGCTATCACCTATAAATCCCTTATTTTCACCTATCATTCCTCTTATCATTCACCAATCCCATATTATCACCCACCAATCCTATATTATCACCTACCAATCCCATATTATCACTCACGTATCCCTTTTTCACCCTTGAATCCTTTTGTGGTAAAATGTTTTAACGCACGCTCCGTTGGATGGCTTGTAATTCTGGACTTTCGAACAATGTTTACAACCTCCGTAAATGCACTTTTTCAGCAAGTGTCTTGAAAATATTATTTATTTATTTGTTGGAAGATTAAAGGTCATGCACATAAAATTGTTTACAAATAAAATTTCACAAAAAGATGTAAAATAGTTAATTATGAAAAAAAAATTAAGTACCTGCAGCATGTTTTGTTTTTCTGAAACAAATCTAACGGTTGGTCGTTATAGCTGATGAATTATATCGATCGATATGAGTTATATCGATATTCATCAGTTATAAGTCGTTTTAAGCGATATTTCGCTATTTCCGATGTTATTATAGGCGGTTTGTTTACTTAAAGGTTTGTATAGGGATTCGGCCGGGACCTTGCCCATTGGTCGTAATGACCGACCGGTCGTTATATTCGGTTTTGACTGTATATAAGATGCAAATCAGAATAAACTATGCACTTAGCTATTAAGCGACACAGTGGTGTCGATACTCACATGATTCTCTAAACTTAAACTAAATTTAACATCAGTCTATCCTATTCTGTGTATAGATAATGATAAGGGTACACTGTTGTCAAATTTAAGTTTAGGTTTAGAGAATCGTGCCAGAATGGACTCCATTGGCTGTTTGATTCCTTATCTCCCGTCAGTAGGAGCCAAATTGGTGTTTTCGACGTGATCAGAACACGCAACTTTCTGATTGAATTTGGCTCCTAGTGACGGGAGATAAGGAATCAAACAGCCAGTGTGTCGCTTGATAACTACGAGCATAGGTTATTCTGATTTGCATCTTATATACTAGTTTCTCTTAGCTAATATTTATGTGCGTCTACTGTAAATCGTGAGCTTTGCGTGTTCTAGATTAAAAGTGAACTCTGACGTAACACAACTATTGCAATGCCCGGCCATTGCCACCCATCGGATGGGTGACCGAAAATTTATTAAATCGAGCTCTCCTCCATGCTTCTCTTTTAAATTTGAAATACGTGGCAGTCATAGTCTGTGATCTTCATCTGACTGAATTTCAATACACCATGTTGTTACATGTTGAAAGATTCTAGTTCACAATATTACCTATTGGCTTAGGCATCAAAATGAACGGCGGCGTTTAATGAACGATCTGGGCTGACTTATTTCAGCAGATAGCTGAAATCTAAATTATTTATTTATTTATTTGTACACACAATAAAATATTAGAAAAAAGAGAAACAAGAGACATGTACAAGGGCACTGCTTATTTTTCTTCCAGCAGGCCTGCGAAAGGAAAGAACATATAAAAATATGATATACACCACAATATTTGATTTTAAAAATTTTAATGCAAGCGTGCCTTTATCTGAGAATGATATAATCATTCATAAAGGCACGCACGGCACGGTGTCGATTCTGGCATAATGAGGATCCATAACGTTTTAGTTGAGAATGAAGATTTATAGAGCTAAGGATTTCATAAAATACAGTGGTTAAATCTATGTTCTACGATAAATATTGACGACATTATGACCAAACTACTATATTTATTTTCGGATGGCCGCGTGGTGACTGTGACGTCATAGAGCTCTAGCGCTCGGGCGCGAGCGTGCGTAGAGACGCTATTAAAGTTCGACCGGAGTGAATCATGAGTGACGTCACACGTTTGGGCCGCCGGTGAATATTGGCTACCATAAAATTGTTTATAAAATCGTAACGAATGAACCGAATTTTATGATTTAAAAAGTATATCAATTAAAAAGCTTCTTAGATCATTATACTGTTGATTTTGAGTTGATTTGCTGGCCTAGTAATGATCCTCATTCTCTAAACTTAAAACTAAATTTAAAATCAGTCTCTCTTTTTCAATCTGCAAAGAGAATGACAAGGATACACTGTTGTCAAATTTAATTTTATGTTTAGAGAATCATTCATCAGAATCGATACCATTATGTGAATAAATGTATTATAAATAAATAATAATAATAAATAAATATTTCCAACACTCACACCTCACAGCCTAGCCCCAAAGTAAGCACTGTAAGGCTTGTGTTATGGGATGCTAGGGTAACGGATAGAATACATATACTGTACATATATAAGTATATTATTATAGAAATACATATTAAACATCCATGACTGGAGTACAAATGCTCGTATTCATCACACAAACATCTGCCCCCACCGGGATTCGAACCCGGGACCTCTCGAGTCGGCGACACCATGAAACCCGGCGTACAAACCACTCGGCCACGGAGGTCGTCAGTCAGTATTTTATGATAAGTATGTGTTTTTCCAGGTGGTGTTAAAGAATAAACAGTTGAAGGAAGTGATAACTAATTTAAGGACAATTATTTGGGAAATCAACGTGATGCTAACCATGAGGCGGTCGTAGTGATTCAAAGTGTCTGTGTGAACTTGGTGAAAGTGATAAAGGTATCATAGTACGTCATCTGATCTTAAATATTGTCATATCGTAACAATGTGTCACGCGTTTTTGTGTAAATTTGCTACAGTCGGTCGCAAGTTCCTTACTTGTTATCCGAAGCTAAAGCACAAGACATTTTGTATGATTTTATTTCGGTTGTTCGTTTTCTATAGAGTTAGAAACATAAGTTTCGGTTTTATCCTCTTCTGAGATCAAAAGCATCAAACTTGAAAAGATGCATCTGGAGTGAAGGTGTAAAACAATAAATACCTAAATGTGGCAAAATTCCAGTTATATGTATATATTGTATGATGTATATATGACATGTTTCTCTAAACCTTAAATTTGACAACAGTGTATCCTTGTCATTCTTTACACAGAATGAAAATGAAAGACTGATGTTAAATTTAGTTTTAAGTTTAGAGAATCATGCCAAAATCGACACCATTGTTTTTTATACTATTGCTATCGCTAAAAACGACAGCATACACTTAAAGCTGAAAAGAAATATTTTCTTTTGGCATAATTATTAGAGGCCCAAGCCCGAATTTTGATAAATCGTGTCACATCTTAAAGTTTCTATCAAAACTAAGCAGCATCGGACGTAAGAACAAACTAGCTTTCTGCATACAAAATTTCGCGATTACAATACCATTACCGAGTTTGCAGAATTGGCTAGCTTGGGCTTCAGTTTGAGGAATTTCACAGTAAAAACGATTAAAAATTCGGACTTTTAAATTGGAATATTTAAATGTTCGAATTTTCAATCATATCATTTTAATTTTAACAAATACTTGCATACAACCTTTAAGATGCGTTTATTAAATATTGAAAAAAAATCTTACCCCATAATGGATATCAAAATTTTGTTAGTTTCATTTCTCACCACTGTTGTTGTTCTGTATAAACTATGTGTTCCTAATAAGAGTAGTGAAGTGACTTGTACATTGTAAATGGATAATGATAACTGTTTGGAAATAATTAGTCTCTTAAGTTTTTTGTAAATATATTATAAGCAGAAACAAAATCGTTTTTGTATAATCAATAGAGTATCTATTAGTGCCTCAATCTGCATAGTCCAGTGTTTACATTTGGGACCCGTTTCCATAAAATATAGTACAAAAATTCGCTGCAGTACGAACGATATTTAATACCCTAGATACAACATCACGAACAAAATCGTGTTATTTGGGACCCGTTTCCTTAAAATATAGTACAAAAATTCGCTGCAGTACGAACGATATTTAATACCCTAGATACAACATCACGAACAAATGAAAAACGTCCAAAATGTACATTGAACGATCCACATACCTCCGTAAGATGATCGCGTAGTTAAATACAATATAAAGCATTTAAACATACAAAGTCACCATTAATGCATATTAATTAAGGTCCTAATTTAAACGCACGCGTCAAACAGTTGTGACAGTTCGAAATGCAAGCTCATAAAATTCCACTACTTGTTGTTAAAAGCGGAAGAATATAGACTATTTCTATGACTGTATTCTATGAATGAAAACATAAGAACCGTAATACCTCAGATTAGCGTTTACTTTTCTTTACTACCAAGATATTTTTGATAACTTTGAGTGCGTAGATAGTTTTGAACAGTTATTTGCGAATATATAATTGATTAGCTTAACACAACATAATTATGAATGATGTTGATTCGATAATATTGACCACTCTGGCCGGTTACAACATTAAGATTTATCTAATAGCAATAGCGCATATAGAATTGAAATTTTGTATCTTCGATAATTTTCATCAGTCTTCACATTTCGATTTTTATGGAGCTGACTGTACAATAAGTATTTTTTCCGGAGCCGCAGAGGCATGTTGACTTCAGCGGTCCGCGCGTCACCGTGATTGGGACACATTTTGAGCGCACGTGGTGTATCTGTCGCCGTTATCTGGTTGAATCCGCTATTTGGTTGAATGACTAGCGCGTTCATTGAATGACGACATTTCATTGAATGACTAGGCCGAACGTTGATTGAACAAGCGTCACTCAACGTCCCGTGGGTATTACACAATCGTACTAGCTAATGAGAATCGTAGTAACCATTGTTATCTGTCTTCGGATTGAAGTGGATTTTTTATTTTGTACTAAAGCGTTATCCGTTATATCCAACCACAATCAGCATATACCTTCATGCTATTATATTGAAGGCAAGTTTCTCTGCGAAGCATACAAAATGAATCTCGAGAAAAACATTCCTATCAACCTTTCGATTTAATGAAGTGATTAACGCAGTCGTTTCGCATACATCGAAACGAATGCACAATCATAAATGCCTATTTGGTTAATCCGTTATAGTGATTATGACTTAATGGTTAACATGATTTTGGCCTATTTGTAGGAGCTCGATGGTGCAAATGGTTGGCATGTTCGGCTGCGATCGTTGAAGTTAAGCAACTTTCACAGTGGTCGGTCATTGGATGGGTGACCAAAAAACTTATTAGCTCGAGCTGCTCCGTGCTTCGGAATTTACGTTAAGCTGTTGGTCCCATTTGCCCCGGCGTGGTGGGTCTTTATTCCTTCAATACGGATGGCCTGTGCCCCAGTAGTGGGGACATTAATAGGCTGATAATGATAATGGCATATTTATTTATTAACTAATTTTACTATAACTGGCCTCATTTGGACCGTTACCGTCACTGTCAAATTATGATCTCATTTTGATTATGGTCAAATGGTGCAGACCAACTTTTTCCTAACTGGTACTTTAACTTAACAGTTAAGTCAAGGGCGTATTTACCCTAGGGCCAAAAAGGACTATGGCCTGGGGCGGCAGCATGTGAGGGGCAGCTGCAAGAGCTGTAAGGGGCGACAGAAGCCATACAAAGGCATAAGGCATACAATATCCAGGCGCCAGATTTCAAAATACGCCCCTGGTTAAAGTTAAAGTCAGTCTACTTGGTGCAACTAACGCTTATACACCCAAATGGAGTGGGAATGTTTTTTTATACTTTTTTGCTGTAATAACATGATAAATAAAACTTCATATTAATAAATTATTTACTTAAATTATAATTACATAACTGGACATCTTATAAATAGAGTAAGACAAAAAATATGAGTAAAGCGAATGGCAAGCTGTCATTTGGAATAAGGTGAGTATTTATTCGTTGTTGTCAATCAAAAATCATAACTCCTGACCATGACACTGCTTACAATCTAAACCTTAGCATAAGTACAGATAATTTAGTTGGCGATCACATTCTATTTACGGTCGACTACTTTGGGGATTTCGGTGGCTTTCTTTTTCTTTTCTAGTGATTTCTTTTCGTATGGACGGTGGTCGATGATGTCCTCTGAAGCCTGTGGGATTTCTGGTTGAGGTTGGTCGGCTTGGGGTTGTTCAGGGATCTCGGGGGCGGCTTCTAGTTGCTTCCCGGCGCTTCTACCGGCGGGTAGGGCGTGGAAGGCCTCTGCTAACTCAGGGTTGATTTCGTCCAGGGGCGTATCACCTGTCCTGATGTATACTGGGACGAAACCCGGCACTGGCGGTAGGTACTGCCACTTTGGACGAGCTTCTGTAACAATGGAGTATAGACGTTAGGAAAATTCAGGAATTCATTTTTTATTACTATTACTAAAGGTCTGTCACAGGTGGTCTGTAAGGTTTGTGTGGGACACAAACTGAAACAATCAATAAGAGAAAAGAGACCCGAGAAGTGGGGATGATTGTCAACTGTTTTTGGGGTGAGTCTCTAAATTCGTTAAAGATCTTGAAAACAATAATAAATTTATTACTCTTAGGCCCACTTGCACGTAAATCTTGAGATTGCAAAATAACTTCGAATTTACTAACACAAAGTTAATATAACATTTTCTTAACTCAGAATTTATCTTGCACGAACAGAAAATAACCCAGGGTTTACTAACCCAACAAAAAGAGTGAGTGATGAATGACATAAGTATTGTTCTTGTAGTAACAGTATCTTGCATATGTCAATCTCTTTTGTTAACTCGGAGGTAAATAAATTAACCCTGGAACGTGCAAGTGGGCCTTAGAATATCTACCTGAGTTAATCTCTTCCTTCTGAGAAAGAATATACTTAATTTTAAGTCAATCTCCAATAAAAATATATTTATAATATTTTTTGGGAGTTTATAATAATATATATACTACATAACTATTATGAACTCATGAGGAGCTTGATAAGGCAGGGAGTTATTCAGCCTGCGATTGTAAAAGATAAGCATTTTTCGCAATGACCGACGGCATTGGATGAGTGACCATAAACTTATTATCTCGAGGTGTGTTTCGGAAGGCACGTTAAGCGGTTGATCCCGGCTGCATCTGCAGTCGTTAGCACCCACCAATCCGCACTGAGACCGCGTTGTGGGTTACGGCCCGGTCTCCTTACCCCAACCATGGGAAGGCCTGTGCCCCTGCCCTGGGGACATTAATGGGCTGATGATCATAACTATTGTACAAAGTCAACTTGTTCGTTTCAATTCATGTACTAAGTGCACGCACAATAATTACGATTTGTTACAATAAATATTATCAATACATAGTTATTTTAATAGAATTATCAATAGTGATAACATTTATTTTGTATAAATAACCAAGCTGTACCAAAACACTGGGATTTTACAGAAAACTGTAGGTCACGCTCTCGTTCGCATTTACTTTACGTCAAAGATAAAATGCTAACTTTTGTAAAACCATCTTCATCGTTATCTTCATATTCAGAATTTGGTACATATCAGTCATTTCGTAGTTTTACCTGGAAAGTTTTCCGGGAGTGTTGAAAATTGGTAATTTTATAGTTTAAGGTGCTCTTTCCGAATTTCGACTTTGCCACCCTGTATTTTTGCCGCTCGCGCTGCCATTTGGAAATATGGCGCCTAAAAGCAGTAATTTCATATTCAATTGAAACCCGGAAAGAGCACCTCAAAATATATAAAATTACCAATTTTCGCAACTCCCGGAAAACTTTCCAGATAACCACTATATTTCTCACTAAATGACTGTACTATAATATTATTATGCATATCAGTGGATGGCATTTACTTTATTTCACAGAAACTCATGTGACATTATATAATTTAGCACGTTTACCACACATTCAAATGCGCTTACCACACGCACAAGCTTCACCACAGTTTGGCCTGCGCAAGCATCTCGCACGAAAAAACTGTACACTTTGTGCGTTACCACACGGCACAGTTAAGTACGCGCAAGCCTCATTCTTATCGAAATCATTGGCATGGAAACAATGTAGGTAGTAGGTATTAGGCATAGGTATTTAGTTGCAAAATTATGTTATTACCTCTTTCATTTTATTTATTATTCTATCGTAGGCGTCGTTCTTTTTATTTCGGTCGGAATAATCTTTAGATTTAATTTTCCAGAGTGCAGGCAGATATTTGTACAAACTAATTAATTCAGACGTGAATTCGCGGC